CGTGTAGCTTTGCGAGAAATTCCAAAACAAACCAAACCACTATTTGTATCGATAAACTTAATATCCTTAACTATCAAACATCTGTGTTTGTTTGTAAAATCCTTACCTTCATTATTTGTGAGGCTCCCCCAGTGGCACAGCGGTATGTCTGCGGGCTTACAACGCTAGAATCTGGGGTTTCGATACCCGTGGTGGGCAGAGAACAAATAACCCTTTGTCTAGCTTTGTGCTTACTCACAAACAAACAATTATTTGTGAGGGAGCTCAGGCTAACTGTAATGTAAATACTTTATTCTGAAAGAACCGTATTTCCAGCCAGGTAATATTTTATATTCAATAACATCTAATAAACTGAACTAGTAATAGGCTACATTAATATGATAATCTTGCCAGCGTAATACCGTAGTATATAGTTAAAATGACTAGAGTTAAGTGTTAAATTATGCACATTTCAGTTGAATCGGCTTATCTGTTTTATCTTAAGCCATTTTTTATAATCTGTTGAGGACAATTTAATGAGCTTCTATCTTAATTTCATATAAAAGCAATATAGTATTGAAAAAATAACACTTAAACTATAAAAAAAAACCTCTTTATTAGATAGTTTAAAAGAGTTTTGTTGAAATTATTGAACAGGTTGGACACTTAAGAAAATGGTTTCTATGATCACTCAAATACAGTTTAATTACGAAGAAAGGTTTCTAGTAGTATCGTTTTTCTTTATTTGGTGGTGTGTGTGTGTGTGTGTGTGGAGGGGGATCACTATAGCCCACACTGTACTAACCAAACCATTAAATTTCGGGTCCATATGTGTTTCTAGAACGTTCTGACGCAATTATTATAATGAAAGTTAATTTGTAATATTTCACATAAAAGATTTGTGCAAAGAAAAATATACCTCATCAGTTGGAGACGCTTTCAAGTTATTTGATATTGTTTTAGGTCAATACGAGTCGAAACATAAGAGACGTACCTAAGTTCTGAACATGATAGAAGATATAAGTTAAGAACTCATGCGTTGTATATTTCTATTTAGATTTTTCTCTTTTCGTATAGTATCCCACGATCTACTTATTTTTGCCCCCCCCCCCAGTGGCACAGCGGTATGTCTGCAGACTTACAATGTTAGAATCCGGGTTTCGATACCCGTGGTGGCGAGAGCACAGATAGCCTATTGTGTAGCTTTGTGCTTAATTACAAACTACTTATTTTTATACCTTTAGTTTTGTACACACATATTATAAGTTAAGTTTACCTCGAAACATGTAGTGAAGGTACACATGTATTATAAGTTAAATGTACCTCGAAACATGGAGCGAAGTTCACACACATTATAAGTTAGATTTACCTCGAAACATGGAGCGAAGTTTACACATATTATAAGTTAGATTTACCTCGAAACATGGAGTGAAGTTCACAAATATTATAAGTTAGATTTACCTCGAAACATGGAGTGAAGATGAGCATCGACGCTTAATTTTGCACAAGCGTCATCTAAACTGTGATGTTTCTCGCAGAAAGCTGTAAAATATAGGAAAGAGGAGTTAGGCACGTTTTAACAACAAATATTAATAAAGATTATTGTAATCTAAAGTAATATAACGTACTGGGAATGAGTACTTTGATTATCTCATATCAGAACATATTATATATGATAATTCTTCACTAACCCAATTTTATAGATAGATACGCGATCGTATTAACCTCCGATCACAGCAAGCTACTTTCTTAGATCAACACTTAAAAAAAAAGAACCTGGTAATGAGTATAGCTAATTAAATATACTGTTCTTACATTCTTGTCTATAAATATTAGAATCAATTGTTTCATCAGTAAGGTACCCTTACTGTTAACGATGTTTTCGGCCGTAAACCCAATAATATCTCATCGGCCAGCTTAAGTGATTTGGATTAGTTCTAAATATATACTAAGCTAACAATCCAAAATAATCTGCATAATACAATTTAATAATAAAACATAACAAAATAAAAATTGATATATTGAACATTCTAGCAAATATTGTTAATAAAATATCAATAAAGAAAATACAATAATTACGAAACACATAAGCGCCGATTTTTGACTTAAATATTCTCCTAGATTCAATGTTCGTTATTTTACATTGGAAATAATTTACTATGTATATAAATTATCCTCAATTTAAAAACGCCTCCCCAGTGGCTCAGCGGTAAGTCTGAAGGCTTACAACGCTAAAAAACCGAGTTTCGACACCCCTGGTGGGCACAGTACATATAACCCATTGTGTTACCTTGTGCTTAATAACAACCAAACAAAATTGAAAATACGTTTATAAAAACACCTGTTACTTCTAATACTGTAACTGTGTATAATAAATTGTGTTAAATAATTCTCTTTTAAAATAACCGTGGTGTTATAAATATTGTACAATTTGGTGCAT